GCCATCCAAAGCTATAGAACCCGCTCTGTCCTGCTATTTACCCATAGGTGTGGGGGGCGGAGACGAAGAGGATTCTTAACAAGTGAATGTAATCGCTTCGACTGGAATTCGAACTCGGCTCTCCGATCCCTCAATCCGAGCCGCTGTCCATTACGCCACCGTGCCTCTACTACTACTGACTGTCACATAATCAAGGATGGAGCTAACTCGAAATGTAGGATCTGCGTTAAATATGATGAAACTCACTACCATATCATCTCAGGGTGTCCGGAACTAGCAAAAAAATGCTTGATATAACAAGGTAGTGATATATGTACACTGGAAGATATGCAAGAAGCACAAAATTGAAACCACTGAGAGATCGTATGAGAACCAGCCAGACACAGTTACCCAAAATAACGATGTAACTATCCTCTGGGACATACCAATTCAAACTGACAGGGAAATAAAAGCCAACAGACCTGATATTGTCATAAAAGGCAAGAAATTCAGGAAGTGTATGCTTATTGACATAGCAGTACCATTTGAGAGAAACACCGCCATAAAAATTATCGAGAAATTGTCCAGATACAAAGGACCTGGAGATCGAGATTAACAGGATGTGGGGAATAAAGACTGAGACTGTACCAATGGTAATCAGAGCTCTGGGCCACGTAAGAAAAGGAATGGACAATTTTACTAACAATGTCCCAGGTAACATCAATATACAATTTGCCCAAAAGATTGCTCTACTAGGAACATCCCATATACTAAGAAAAGTGCTATCAATTAAATAACAATTCTCCTATAGAACCTAAGGACCATAGTTTGGACCCGGCTCTACAGGATACAAAGCAGGAAACATAACATACACAAATAATAATAATAATAATAATGTCTTCGAGGATTAAGATAGAGTGAACTTCTCGTTCAGTGCCACAAAGTTTGACCTCATTTGAATAACTTTAACCAGTTGGTCATATCTTCTGGGGTGCTGACAAACTGCACATATCTGTTCATGAGCGAGAGTAATGTGGGAGCGTAATAGCAGGGTCGCTTTGGCTGTCATTTGGCTGTGATGCATGTGTGTGGTATACCCTTATCAGACTGGGAGTCATGATAGGGTCTTCGTATAATTTGTACCCCGGTGTCACTTTGTTGGTTTGGTGCACCATCACTCAGAAATAATAATAATAATAATAATAATAATAATAATAATTTTTTTTTTTTTGTCAGTGGAAAGTGTCATGATGCCATTTCTAACCTTAGGTCCCTGGGCGGGACCCGGAAAGAAATGTGTAAACGCCAGAAAGCGGAAACTGAAGGTTTTATCCTTGCTGCACAGGACCAATGCTTGCTAACTAGGAATTATCAAGCACATATACTAAAATATTGTGTCAGCCCAAAATGCAGATTTTGTGATAAATATCCAGAAACGATTGATCATCTTGTATCAGGTTGCACGATATTGGCACCCACTGAATATAAAACCCGACATGACAGAGTGGGCCAATATCTGCACTGGAAAATCTGCAACTTCTAAGGGAAGGAAACTGAAAGAAACTGGTATGAACACCACCCAGATCCGGTTACGGAGATAGGACCTGTTACAATTCTATGGGACTACACAATACACACTGACAGAACAATCAAAACCAACCGCCCAGATATTGTCATTAAAGACCACAAACAAAAACGGTGCCTCCTTATTGATATGGCAGTCCCTGCTGACTGCAATGTATCTTTGAAGATATTCAAAAAGCTGTCAAAATACAAGGACCTTGAAATAGAAATCTCGAAAATGTGGCATATGGGAACATCGACAATCCGTGTTGTAGTTGGAGCCCTAGGACTGGTTGGAAAAGATTGCAGTAGACTAATTTTCCTTTGCCTCAAGGAGATACAAAAAATTGTTCTGACAAGTACAGCCCACACTTTACGAAGGGCTTTATCTATGTAAGTGGTCCCATTTCTAAACTTAGGTCCCTGGGCGGGACCCGGAAAGAAATGTGTAAACGCCAGAAATCAAAGAAAATAATAATAATAATAATTTAGTATTACAGTGTAACCCGGGTATAAGAGACCCGGATATAAGAGAAACCCGGATATAAGAGAGATTTTCTCTGGTCCCAAATTAGAGCCTGTGTTAATGTATATATAATAGACCAAACCCGGATATAAGAGACTTCTCCGGTCCCGACAACTCTCTTATATCCGGGTTACACTGTATTTATCATTTTCTTTTAAAACCAGACGAATTGGCTGTTCGCGCCACATTGAAAAAACAATGACGTTTCAACCACCAAGCAGACAAAACAATGTCGTCTCAACTAGGAAGATGTTAAATGCACACATGTAATCCTAAGCCACTTTAAATAACCAACAAGACAAGTAGCACAATAGAATAGTGTCATACATGCGAGACGACACACAAATAGACATTGGAGCTGTGTTGCTGCTATGTAGCAGTTAGAGACACACGAATGCTCTTTCTCCGCCCCCTCTCTCTCTGATTTTTATTCGATCCAAATTTCTCTGTCTGTCTCTCTGTCTGACTCTCTCTCTCGTTATTTACTTTCATTCACAGGCTAAAGTTTGCATACAACTTGGTTGGTCTGGTTGACTATTATTCAGTAGTGAGTTCGATCCTCACTCGATGCCTGTCTTGTGCCAAATTAAGATTACTAAATGACAACTACACTTGACTGTTCCTTTGGCTTGCGATTTTTTCTTTCTTTTTCAACTGTTTTTTTTTTTTATTTACTATTTCTCTTTTTCTATCGTTTCCATCCATTCTTTCTTTCTTTTTTCTTTCTTCACACTTTCCTTTTCTCTTGCATCTATATCTTTTCCTTTCTTTCTTTCTTTTTTTGTTCTCCATACTTCCCTTTTCTATTTAATCCACATTTCTTTCTTTCATTCTTTCTTTCGTTCTTTCTTTCTTTCTTTCTTTTTCCTTCCTTCTTTCTTTCTTTCTTTCTTCACACTTTCCTTTTCTCTTGCATCCATTTCTTTTCCTTTCTTTCTTTTTTCTCCATACTTCCCTTTTCTCTTCCATCTATTTCTTTCTTTTTTTCTTTATTTTTTATTCAGACTTTCCTTTTCTCTTGCATCCATTTCTTTTCCTTTCTTTCTTTCTTTCTTTTTTCACACTTTCCCTTTATTTCATCCCTTTCTTTCTTTCTTCCTTCCTTCCTTCCTTTCTTTCTTTCTTTCTTTCTTTCTTTCTTCACGCCTTCTCTTTATCATGGATCATTTCATTTTTCTGTCTTTCTTTCTTTCTCCACTTTCCTTTCCTCTTGCATCCATCTCTTTCTTTTTTCTTTCTTTTTTCACACTTTCCTTTTCTCTTCCATTCATTTCTTCTTTCTTTCTTTCAACTATTCATGATGAAGCGGTTGCTGGGGAAAAAAAAACTAATCCTCTTTTTGCCTTGGGCAGGTTTAATCACATAATTTGAGTGTGCGTGCGTGCACGCACGCGCGTGATGTGTGTGCGTGTGTTCATTTTTACCACTATTTCTTTTTATTTATTTATTTATATCCTCATTTCTCATTCATAATCCTTTAGGCAACCGAGATAATCATTCAATAACACATGTGTATGTGAAGCATGCGCGCCTACTCGAGTAGCAATGCGTCTCTAACTCTTGCCATTGCTGGCGTTGGTGTCTATCAATAGACATTCATAATTTGAAGGTGTGTACATGAATCGGAGAGCGTGTGACGTGACCCATTTTCTTAGCTACAGCAGCCCAATCGAAGCAGCAATAAACACACTTGATAGTGATATGGAGAGTGTGTGCTTAAATGACGCTTGGTTTGTTGTCGGCCTTTATCTTTCTCTCTTAATGCATTGATACTACTATGAAACGACTGACAATTTTTAAACACATGGATGTATTCGGGAAGAAATCGGCATTGTTCTTTCTGACAACAGTGACTGTGACACTATCGTTGTATTCATTCTCTCGCGTGTTTTCCCAAAAATTTGTGGTTCACTTCCCATAGAATTTCATTTACCGGAACAGCTCAAAAAAGCAGATAAAATCACGGAGAAAGAAAGAAAAAGAAATGATATCAACAATTTCGACTGTTTTTAAGAAGTAGCGAATCGAAGTTGAATAACGATAAAAACTTTTCATTTGTTTTTCCGGTTTTTAAACGTAAAAAAATATTTATTTTTTTAATTAATAGTAATTAGTTTTTTCTTCGCACAAGTATGGACACGTAGAGAATACTAGACTCATTTCTCAGTAATAATATTAAAAAGAAAAAAAAGAAAAAAAGCTGTTTCTTAAACATTACGCAATGAGGTAACCAAATAACACTTTTCAGGTTAGTCTAGTCTACCGTATCTTAAAAAAAGGGCGACGTTTTGTTTTTCCTACGACTTTTTTTTCCTTTTTTTTTTAACGCAGCGCAATTTACAACCCCATCTCTCGCATGGGTATAGGCAACATTTACTTTTCAACCCGATCTAAAACAAGGATGGGTATCTGAAAGTAAATTTTATGATCTTTGCAAAAAGAAAATTTAAAAAAAACGTATAGAAAAACTATTCCTGAAGCGGGTTTGTTTTTACGGAATTGTGGCGGAAGTGACCTCGCTGTTCTGGTCAGAGGGTGAATGCATGATGCAAGGGAAGTAAGTAAAAATAATACATTGCAGAAAAATATATATATATATATATATATATATATAGAGAGAGAGAGAGAGAGAGAGAGAGAGAAGGTGAGAGAGTGAGGGGTGAGAAGGGAAATAAAACCTGATAGCAGATAAAGAGGCAGTCGTAGGAAAACAAGCGAAAGACAGTGAGAGGAGGGGAAAAGAGAAACGCAGGCTCTCTGCTAAAAAAAAAAAGAAAAAAATATGGTAGCGCGAAGCGTGTATATTACGGCTTCTGTGGTGGTTGTAATTTCCGTGATCTTAGGGGAATTATATATATATACTTTAGACAAAGAAATAAGAGCTAAAAATTTACGGGCCCAGTTCATATGTTTCTTGGAGTTTGTTATCATGATGATGTCAGCTGTTGTGTGGAAAACCTTCGGGTCACGCCGATCCACAAGCGGTTCCCCAGGCATTTCATCAGACCCCACTGAGGTTCCCTTCTCTCAGCAACAAAGAAAAAAATCAGATTTTTTCCAATCCGTCCGTACCAATAAGAAAGAGACAAGTGACGGGTATCAATCACTTTTTATGAGGAGCTTTTTAGCTCTCTACTTATTTTCGTGTCATTTAGCCTTCTTTTGCAATGTCTTTTTGATGGGGGAAAACCCGCACTGGTTATCACTTGTTACCTACGGAACCTTCGGGTCCTTAATTCAGCTTTTCACCGCCCTCGTCATTTGCGAGGCCGTCCACTTCGTTTTAAAATTCTTTTGCAAAAGAAAAAAATTGTTTCTTATCGGTAATAAGCGCCTCCGTCATTTTCTTGTGGTCAGCTATGCAGTGCTGATTTCAACTTATGGATTATTTTGGGCAACCCAGCCACCTGTAATTAAAAGGGTTTCTATACCGATTCCTAAGTTACCAAAATCTTTGGAAGGATTTAAGATCGTTCAACTCACCGACATTCACCTTGGTCCGACCGTTGGCAAAAGACATTTGGAGACAGTGGTCAAAATGGTTAATGATTTGAAACCAGGTAAGTTGATTATAAAAATAAAAAAAAAATGAAAATATATTTCTTCTTTATGTGTGGCTTAATTCAAATTGTTATATTTATTAATAATTAGTTATTATTAATTATTAAAAATTTGATGTTTTTTTATGTCGAGGTATTATTCGTCTTAATTTATATTAATTTAATAATTAGTTTAATTCATCAATAATTTTAAAATCTATTTAATTTTGATTTTTGATGCATTTTTAAAACAATATTGAAATACAAGAAAATAAAATCGATGCTTCAGCTTAACTAAATCTGATTAATAAACTAAGAGTCTAAGCTGAATTACCTATGGATTATCAGACATCAGACAACCCTGGGATAAGGACAAATAAATTCAATAATCCATAGTTTTTATTTTAATTTCCTAAAGTAAACCAAAGAACAATTTGTTAAAAGTTTGTCAATTTTATAAATTTATCACTTCAACATTACGTAGTTAGATTTTTTTTTTTTTAAATAAAGTAAATTCTGCTTTAATAAAGTTTTATTTAGCTTGTAGCTTTTTAATCAGAACAGAAATGATCTTTGTTTTTACTAAATAGAATTTTTTATTGATTATTTTTATTTTTTAATCAAATCCGACTGGCCTCTTATTTTCTTTGTTTTTTATTTTTTTTCCAACTGTATTTTTTTTTAATTCGTTATATAAGTTCTCTCTTCAAAAATGCTCGCTATGTCCGAGTTCAAAATTCATTCATGTTTTTTGTAAAGAACCGGTAAAAATCAGATAAAGTATAATTGATTAGCAACCTTTATATTTAATATTTCCAGGGCGAATAGAACTCATCGTATTTCCCTTAAATGTCAACTTGTAAGGCCGTGAAAATGTCAATTTGGAGACGAATTGTTACAGAAAGCGATAACCTTATCATTTTTATTTTTATGCAAAATAAAGATTTTAAAGAAATTTATTAATTAAACATATCAACTTCTTTTGACTTTTTTCTTTTTTTTTTTTTTGTCTTCTTAGACCATAATTTATTTTGTTATATAGCCTTTTTTTAAAAAAAAAAAAAAAACAATTATATATCTTTTCTGTAGTTGATCATGATTTAAATTTTAAATTTTAGTTCGTTTTTTGTTCTTTTTTAAACGTTTTTTTTTTTTTTTTTGTGAATCACCAAGCCTGCATTTTGATTACAGCCTCAGATTTACATATGTGAGAAGGGTTTATGTTTACATTTTTTTTTTTTTTTAAATTTATTTCTCTTTTTACTAATATTTAAAGTAGAACTAAAGTTCTCTAACTGGGAAGTTCGTTTCCACGCACCGACCGACGAAAAATTAAAAAAAAAAAAAAAATAAAAAAAATAGCAAGCAAAAAAAACTCGTGACAGGCTCCTTGAAAGTGAAAGTCAGTTTATAGTACAAAAGTCAAACATTATTTTTTTTTAGTCTTCACTTTTTTGCGATAAAGAAAATTAAAAACAAACTTTACTTACAAATTAAATAGTTAAATTTAAAACAAAGAAAAAAAAAACTTTAGCGTGAAGCAAGTTTTAGTTTATTAGTAACTGTTTTTTGCGAGTTCGAACCTCATACTTTTTTTCAGTTTTGCGTCTTTGTTTGCATCCATACGAAATAATCTGCTAGCTATAATCTCTCAGCTGAATGAGTTTGATCCGCACAAGGTGATCGATTCATTCGGTCATTGAATCCCATCTTCAGAAAATGATCTCGTGTGTGTGTAAACTGTGTGTAAATGCAATTACTGCCCGTTTCATTTTAGCTTGTCTGTTTGTTTTCGTTAATTTGTTTTTTGTTTGTTTGTGTTTTTGTTTTACTATTTGACCTATTTTATATATTATGCTTAAAAAAAAAAATTAAAAAGGAAGATACCCCCATCATTATTCATTGGTAACACCAGAACACAAAAAAAAAAAAAAAAAAATAAAATTTAGCCAACCTCCAGACAGACATTGTCGCAGCAACAAATTGAATTTTAATAAAAATAAAAAAAAATTTAAAAAATGATTTCAGATTATCAATTTAATTAATTACGTTACTGATTTTAACTTTCAATTGTTATGATTTTTACTGCCAAATTCGGCTCTTTTCAAGCATTAGATACAAATAAAACTACCAGCATAATACCCGTAAAAAATGAGGGAATTATTTATTTTATGTTATAGTTACTTTCGCATAAATTTCGTTGGGGAAAGGTATATACACGCATCTCTTCTCCCCACCCCCCAGCTAGGCATTAAATAGTAGAGTAGACTAGGCTCTACAGCCTTGAGTGGCAGCCAGTCCAAGCGAAGGGCTGCTACTCGGAATTCAAACCATAAAGGCAGCAGGAAACTTCCCATCTATGTTACCCAAGAATTAATGGGGTGGGGGTTACAAATACTACTATTACTACTACTAATAATAATAATATAGATTTACATGCATTTTTGTTTTGTGTATAGCCTGTAGAAGACAAACATACAGTTGAAATATTGTTAAACAGTGAGTCTTCTCTGGAAATCACCCTTTTTTGGAATAATAATAATAATTCTGGAATAATAATAATAATAATTCTGGAATGATAATAATAATAATAATAATAATAATAATTAATAATAATAATACTAAATAGACATGGATTCATTCTTGTTTTGTGTATAACCTGAAGGAGACAAATATATTGTTGAAATATTGTTAAACAGTATGTTGTCTCTGGAAATCCCCCTAACCCTCTCGAACAATAATAATAATAATAATAATAAAATTAAAAAAATTGCCTCCTTTTGATACAGCAGTCCCTGCAGACAGCAATGTATCTTTGAAGATATTCAAAAAGCTATCAAAATACAAGGACCTTGAAATCAAAACCTCAAAAATGTGGCACATGGGAACATCAACAATCCCTTTTGTAGTTGGAGCCCTAGGATTGGTTGAGAAAGATTCCAGCAGATTAATTGAAGGGATTCCTGGAAGCCCATGCCTTAAAGAAATACAAAAAATTGTTCTCACGAGTACAGCCCACACCTTATGAAGGGCTTATCTATGTAAAATAAGTGTGTTTTTTTTTTGTTTTTTTTTTTAATTGGTCAGTGGAAAATGTCATGATGCCATTTCTAACCTTAGGTCTCTGAGTGGCGGGACCCAGAAAGAGATGTGTACACACCAGAAATCAAAGGAAGTATAATAATAATAATAATGATAATAATAATAAATAGACTTAGATGCATGTCTTCTGTATAACCTGAAGAAGACAAACATACTGTTGAAATATTGTTAAAGTGTATCTTCTCTGGAAATCACCCTCTTCTGAAATAATAATAATAATAATTGCACTGTGTGGAACTGCTCATCTACTCATTACTCAGTATTATAAATATAAAGAAAATATAAACACTCTATGTGTAAATTATTACTTAACATGAGACTTTGTGCAGACAGAATGCATATTTTCATCAACTTGCCTTATCCTAGGTCTTAGGAAAAGAAATTGTACTGAACAGAAAGCAAAAGGTTAAAAAAAAAATGACATTGTGGAGAGCCATGTCCTGAAGGGTTATGGCATAAAAAAATATATGGATTTTGATCATTGTGTAATGTCTATACACATTTTAAAAAACACCTATATGGAAATTTAATGCCAATCCACTGATTTTCTTTCTTTCTTTCTTTCTTTCTTTTCCTTTCTTTCTTTCTTTTCCTTTCTTTCTTTCTTTTCCTTTGTTTTCCTTTCTTTCTTTCTTTTCCTTTGTTTTCCTTTCTTTCTTTCTTTCTTTTCCTTTGTTTTCCTTTCTTTCTTTCTTTCTTTTCCTTTGTTTTCCTTTCTTTCTTTTCTTTCTTTTCCTTTGTTTTCCTTTCTTTCTTTTCTTTCTTTTCTTTCTTTCCTTCCTTTCTTTATAAGCATGAAGCTTATAAGGATGGCATGGATTAGATTACTCTAAAAATTAAGTAGTTTTAAGCATGAAATGAGGTTTAGTTTTTTTTTGTTTTCTTTATGTGCATAAAGTTTATAGGCAAGGCTCAAATTAGTCTAAAAATTAAGTACATTTAAAGCATGAATTGAGACTCAATTTTTTTTTTTTGTTTACATGAAGCTTATAAGGAAGGCTCAAATTAACACAAAAATTAATTATATTTTAAGCGGGAATGGAAATTCAAATTCTTTTTTGTTTGCATGTAGTTTGTAAGCAAGGCTCAAGTTAGTCTGAAAATTAAGTATACTTAAAGCATAAAGTGAGGCTTAAATTTTTTTGTCAGCATGAAGCTTAAACTTTTGAGCCCTGACTACCGCTTTACTGGTGGTAGAGAAAAATGACATGAAAATGACCACTGGTTGAACGGTGGTAGAGAAAAATGACTTAATGCTCAACCATCGGTTGAATGGTGGGTAAACACTTGTAACTATTTTATATCTCCTGTGAAACATTACATACCAATTATTTGCGAATTTTAGGAGCTCAGGCAGAAGGGTTAAAATTGTTCAAGAATGCTGGGCTCAAAGGGATAAGGCTCAAATTAACCCCAAAATTAAGCATATTTTAAGCATGAATTGAATTTTTTTTTATTTGTATAAAATTTGAAAGCAATACTCAAATTAGCCCAGAAGTTGAGCATATTTTAAGCATAAAGCCACATTGGAATATTTATTAATACAACTTTAATAGGCATTTAATGACTGAACTCCTGTTAGGATTATGTTTTAAACATGAAATAAGGCTCAAAATTGAGAATTTGCTAAGCAGGACCAGACTCAGTTAAAATTACCTAATGCCAAAAAGATTTACAACATTCAATAATGCTTATTGCTTACATTCAAACAAATAATGCTTTTTGTGTGTGTATGTGTTTAATTAAACTTTGACGATTCTTGATGTTTTCGCCCCAGAAAGTGTTATCTTTCTTTATAATTTAAAATGACATCTCTTTCAATCAGTTTCATATTTTATATACATAAGTATTTTCTATGTATGTATAGCTGGCCACTCGTATTCGAGGATACCCGTCCCTATTGTAGTCGCTTGCTCAGG